AGCCTTGACTAGTGCTAGAATCCCCAGCTTCACCGAAGGTGTTCGATCTGGTATAAGTGAAACAATATGCGAAGAGGATGGCACTTTAATCACCAATCTTCAAAGACGGTTGGAGCGATGGGCCGAACATTTTGGCTCGCAGTTTTGTTGGCCCCCAGCTCCATCTGCTACCATTGGCACTCGCGCTGGGGCCGAGTGGTCTATCCCCACAGACCCTCCCTCTTCCCAGGAAATCGAGCAGCAGCTCCGGCACATGAAGCGTTATAAAGCCCCCGGCCCTGATGGTCTTCCTCCGGCTTAATTTTAAGATGGTGGCGCATCGCTGGTTCGAGAACTCATCGCTTTGTTCCCGAAAATTTGGAAGAAAGAGAAAGTTCCGTCATTTTGGGGTAAATATATAGTCGTCCCCATCTTCAAAAACGGCCTGCGCACAATCTGCTCCAACTACAGAGGAATAAGTTCAGTCACCGTCGTTTGCAAGCTGTTGGTGTCCATCATACTTCGCAGACCATCCCGAACTCGCGAATAGTTGCAACGAGAAGAACAAGCTGGTATTCGCCCTGGTCACGGCTGCATCGATCAAATCATCTGTTATAATCTTCTCACTAGACGCAACTCCAAAAATAACAATTCACTGCTCCACAAAACTTCTAGCCCAACCGAAGGAAAAAAGCAAAACGCCAATGACCTTGACAAAATAACGTATTAATCGCCGCCAACGAACACTGTACAACGACTGCGGACCTTGGCTGTATTTATAGGTCTCTACTGACCTTCGACTTCTAGAATTGGAAGGTCAGCTGCCAAGGTTAGTGGTTCCCCATATCTTTTGCCGAGGTGTCAGGTGGCTTTTAATCACGTGCAGAAGAAGAACATTCCGGAACGTTCGAAATCGATGCGATAATCGTTAATAATCGATTAATCGCTAAAATAGGGAATTTCCAAGGCAATTCTTACTTTCTCCCGGACACCTCCCCTCCTGAGATATGGTCCGAGGTATAAGACGAAAGCCTGGGATTAACTTGCAGTCTTCGGGACGGTGTTCTCTGCCTGTCGGTCCACCTCCTTGGCAGAAGCGCCCGAGAACTTTGTTCCGATGTTCTTGTTCTGGATTCGTTGCTCGACTTTGTGCAGTCGTCCACTGCTACCTTCGGCAGGTTGAAAGTTTCCACCAGTAAATCGAACGGGAGGTCAGTAGGCCTTTCTTGTTCTGGCTGGCACAATGTGGGCCGTAACTGGTTTGCATGCCGTGGCCAAAGCTGTGCGCCCACCATCACGTCATACATGACGTTTCCGCGCTTGCTTTTGACCGTCCCTGGCGTCCATTTCGCATGGCCTTCCCGGTAGTCACGTACTAGCACCTTCTGTCCAAGCGTGAAAGATCGCTTCTTTGCTCCATGCCGCCGGTTAAACTCCTGTTCCATTCTGCGGTTCCTTTCACAAACAGAGGACTCCGAGCCCGGTCGGATGGCGTCGAAAGGCATGCGGAGCTTCCGGTTCATCATGGCCTGTGCTGGAGAGACTCCGTCTGGCGCTTGTGGATTCGGTGTTGATCGGTAGAGGAAAAGGAACCGGTCAACCACCTCCTCTATACGTCCCTCCCTTTTGATTTGTGGAGAGCTCGCTTGAATGTATCGACAAACCTTTCTGCCTGGCCATTCGACTGTGGGTGAAACGGCGGCGAGCGAACGTGCTGTACGGCGCATTGCTTGCAAAACTCCGTAAACGTTGCTGAAGTAAATTGTGAGCCATTGTCGGTGACAATTGTCTCAGGACAGCCGAATCTGCTAAAGGTTTGGCGCAGTTTCGATATGGTGGCATTGGTGGTGGTGTTCTCCATAAGAAATACTTCAGGCCACTTGCTGTATGAATCGACGATAATGAGAAAGCTTCTGCCGTTGATCGGTCCCGCAAAGTCGACATGGATGCGGCACCATGGCTTAGTAACTATTGGCCATGAACAGAGTTCTGCTTTTTGTGGCGCTTTCAAGACATTGGCACACCTTTGACAGCGTTTAGCTATTTCTTCTAGCTGTTTGTCCATGAAAGGCCAATATACATAACTGCGGGCAAGCGCCTTCATCCGGTTGATTCCAGGATGCCCGGCGTGGAACTGCCGAATAAGGCGCTCCTGAAGTGCCTTGGGGATGACCACTCTTTCCGAAAACAGTATGCAGTCGTTTACAATAGAGAGTGAGTGTCTCCTCTGAAAGTACTGTTGCAATTCAGCAGATGGACATGAATGTGGCCAACTTGTTTTGTGAAACTGTGTAACTTTCTTGAGGATTGGGTCCCGAAGTGTTTCGGTTCGTACAGCTTCTGCGGTAACTGGTAGACCGTGCAATGCATCAGTTACCAGAAAGTTGACGTCAGGTTCAATCTCGACCGAGGCAATGATTGTGTCCTCATGTTCTTGCTGACGGGCATCAATTAGGCGTGACAGTGCATCCGCTTGGCCAATGGAAACAGTCGACTGGTATTGGATCTCGAAATCATACCCCATTAAGGTAAGAGCCCAACGTTGTAGCCGGTTGGCTGTGTAGGCCGGGATGCCCTTTTTCGAACCAAAGATAGCCAGCAAGGGCTTGTGATCTGTCAGAAGCTTGAAGCGGCGGCCGTATAGCATTTTATGGAATTTCTTGACTGCATACACTATGGCCAATGCTTCTTTCTCAATCTGGCTGTAATTCTTCTCGGCCTTCGTAAGTGTTCTGGCGGCATGGGCGATTGCCTTCTGAGATCCATCGGCGTAGGTGTGTGATATTACCGCACCAATCCCATGGCTTGATGCATCTGTTGCCAAGACAATCTCTTTGGAGGGATCGAAATGAGTCAAAAGCAAGTTTGAGGACAGCAGTGACTTGACGCGTTCGAAGGCATTCTGGCATTCGGATGTCCAGTTCCATGTTTGGCCTTTGGCTAATAGCTTGTTTAACGGGGCACGCAGGCGGTGCATCTCAGGCAAGAATGCGCTGTAGTGGCTGATGAGCCCACAAAAGGAACGCAAGGACTGTAGATCTGTTGGCGGAGGCATTTTTCTAATGGCTTCTATGTTTTCCGGGTCTGGTCGACGTCCATCCTTCTCGAGGATAAAACCGAGGTATTTGATGAGCGGCGTGAAAAATGTGCATTTATCCTCACGGATCCGGAAACCGTACGACTGTATGCAACCAAGCACTTCATCCAGTCGGTTAAACAGTTCTTCCGGTGTTCGACCCATCACTATGATATCATCCAGATATGCAGCGGTTCCAGAAACGCCCGCTAGCATGGTGTCCATCAACTGTTGGAAGATGGCTGGCGCCGTTTTCACACCAAATGGCAAGCGGTTGTATTGGAATAGCCCACGATGAGTGTTGATCGTCAACAACTCCCTCGAGACTTCGTCAACATCCACTTGCAGATAAGCATCGGATAGATCAAGCTTAGCAAAGTACTTACCACCATTCAACTTTGCAAAGATATCCTCCGGTACAGGTAATGGGTACTGGTGGTCGTCCAGCGCGGCGTTGAGGCCAGTTGAAAAGTCAGCGCAAACGCGTACCTTGCCATTTGCTTTCTTCACTGCGACAATAGGTGCGGCCCATGATGAGTAGTTGACGGCTGTGATGACTCCGGCACGTTCCAGTCGATCGAGCTCTTGCTCAACGGTTGACATGGCTGCATATGGTACCGGTCTTTTAGCCTTGAACACTGGTTTAGCACCTGGTCGCAAGTTCAGTGTTGCCTTGAATTTCGTACAGTGGCCCAAGCCATCCTGAAAGACAGAAGCAAATTTTCGCTTCAGGGTACGTGTCATGTCTTCGACGGACTTTGCAGATGGGTCTGGACTTGCTCGAACTCGGTTGCAGATCTGATTCAAGGGAACATCGAGGAGGTTCAACTTTTCAATCCAGTCGAGGCCAAGAAGATTCAAATTCGGCCGGTCTGAAATGTAGCATGTTCCCGACTTTTCCACACCTTGGAAAGCAATCTTGCAATTGAGTTCGCCCACTAAGTGTAACACACCGCCGGATGCATTATGTGCAACTTTCTGAGACTCGACCATCTTCGGCCTCTTTATGTGATTCCATGTGCTCCTGGAAATAATTGTGATGTCTGAGGCCGTGTCAAATTGCAGTTTCGTTGGGATCCCATTGATTAACACAGTGATGAATCGTCGTCTCGGTTTACATTCGCTTTGGAATGCGGCAACTATGGACAGAGACTCAGCGCCGTCCCTTCTAGAATTACCCTTTCGATAAGACTTCTGCACTTTCTTCGACCGGACTTGACTGCAGCATTCCTCTTTATGCCCACGCTTATGACACGTTTGACAAATATGATGTTTGAAGGGACAAAAGCGAGCGAAATGCCATTCGCCGCATGACCAGCATGCTGTGGGCGGTTTCTTCGTAGGCCTCTTGAAGGGTTTGCTTGCGTTGGCGGTCCTGGTCTTTTTCACGAGTTGCACGGTATCTGCTGGTGCGAGACCATTTCGTTCGACCATGGCAGTGTCGTGTTTTAGAGTGAGAAGCCGTTTGCATTCGCTTACGAGGGCCTTCAGTGTCAGATCAGGATCCTGCTCCAGCTTAGCTAAAAGCCGCGTTCGGATCTCAGCATCACTGGGCGATTGTAGAGCACTGACGAAAATGAGACACTTAAACTGATCGTCCGTTAAAGAGCGTAGTTTGAAACGTTCACACTCACGGTTAATCATGTCTGCTAAGGCCCCAAAGTCGTCAGATTCCTGTTTGACAATTTTCAGGCATTGATAGCGAATACTAAACAAAGATACCGACTCACCAAAAATTTCCTTCAACTGCGACACTGCTTCGTCAAAAGTCAGATCCTTCGGCTGTTTGGGCAAAATGTGGTCTATGAACCTTGAATGTTCACTTATTCCGAGCTTGCGGAGTAGCAATCGCACCTTCCAGGAGTCGTCCTGACGAATGAAGTCCGTCTGGAACATGTCTTCCCAGCGTTTGAACCACGCTTCGAAAGTGCATCCAGAATCCGCATCATAATGGAATTCAGTGATGGCGTTCGTGAGAAGATCAACAGAACTCGCCTGCGTGTCCCGCGTCGCTGCTCCTGTTGTCTGCAAACTCAAACATTGTGTCAGATTTTCAATCATTTTCATTTGTGCCTCCATTTGAGCTTGCTGTTGAAAAAGCAGCTTTTGAAATTGTTCAGCAGAAAAATTCATCACATTTCCAATTTTCTCCGTCGCCATTTGTTATAATCTTCTCACTAGACGCAACTCCAAAAATAACAATTCACTGCTCCACAAAACTTCTAGCCCAACCGAAGGAAAAAAGCAAAACGCCAATGACCTTGACAAAATAACGTATTAATCGCCGCCAACGAACACTGTACAACGACTGCGGACCTTGGCTGTATTTATAGGTCTCTACTGACCTTCGACTTCTAGAATTGGAAGGTCAGCTGCCAAGGTTAGTGGTTCCCCATATCTTTTGCCGAGGTGTCAGGTGGCTTTTAATCACGTGCAGAAGAAGAACATTCCGGAACGTTCGAAATCGATGCGATAATCGTTAATAATCGATTAATCGCTAAAATAGGGAATTTCCAAGGCAATTCTTACTTTCTCCCGGACATCTTCACACTTCGCCAGATCCACGAGCTCCGCCATGTGTAGCAGAGGCCAACAATTGCTATGTTCCTAGATATCAGTGCAGCCTTCGATTCTGTAGATCGTACAGTACTGTGACACTGTCTACTGGGGAATGGTGTCCCCGAGAAGTTCGTCTCCATACTGCGCACTCTATATAGTCTGACCTCGGGCAGGGTTAGGGCTTATGGCAAGCTTTCGCCTGCCTTTGTGGTCTCCAGTGGAGTTCGACAAGGATGCCCTATCTCTCCGTTCCTATTCAACTTTGCCATTGAGGATGTCTTGAAGAACGCTCTGAGCGATTCGTTGAACGCTGGCGTTGAGCTCCTCCCAGGTAGTCGAGTTGTTGATTTGGATTATGCTGATGATATCGTCTTGCTGGGTGACGATCCACACGTCGTCCAACTTGCACTAAACCGCTTGGCGATTGAAGCATCAAAGTATGGTATGTACTTTTCGCCATCCAAATGCAAGGATCTCTTCGAAGACTGGCAGGTGCCTCTGCCTGCACTCACTCTTGCTGGTGAGACACTAGAGGTTGTGGAGAGCTTTGTCTACTTGGGAAGTTGCATCACTGCTGGCGGGGCTGTTGGAGACGAGATTTCGATACGCATCTCGAGAGCACGCCTCGCTTTTCTAGGCTGAGGCACTTGTGGCGTCGCCACGACATTCGTCTCTCCATCAAAGGGCGGGTCTATTGTGCAACTGTTCGTGCTGTACTGTTGTACGGATGCGAGACCTGGCCCATTCGTAAAGATGACTTGCGCAGGCTATCCGTCTTCGAGCACCGCTGTCTGCGGTCCATTGCCCGTGTGTGTTGGCAGCAACCACGTAAGCAATGTGGAAGTTAGACAACATGTCTTGAAACGAGGAAGCCACTCGCTTGAAGAGCTCGTCTCACTGCATCAACTGCTGTGGCTTGGACACGTATTGCGCATGCCCCTGTCCAGCGTTACTCGCGTCCGTGCGTGTTTGCGGTTACTGACAGGGCTGGAGAAGACGGTCTGGTGGACAGCCTGTACGTCATCGGAGAAGCCGTATGAAACGCTGACGAAACAGTTGACCTCGGCCAGTTGTTGTCGACTACCTGGTTGGAGTCCGAGAGATGGGGATACTTGCTAGTCGAAGACCTTGGAAGCCATGGCTCAAAATCGATGTCAATGGCGGACGTGTGCATCGGTTTGTTGCGGTGTCCCTTCTTCCTCCCCCTAAAAAAGAAAAAAACTGAAAAAAACATTTCAAAACTGTGAGCGGTAAACTAGACTATATACATATATATATCTATTT